GCCCGGCAGTGTCCCCATTTCATAGATAAGCAAACTGAGACTGAGGTACACCTGACCACTCAGAATTGGGATCTAACCCACCGTGCCTTGCTTCCAACTGCAGAACAGGCCTTCCTATAGCCCCTGACCCAAATCTAACCTTTTCCCAGTCCTCAGGAACTGCCTTTTCCAAAAAGTCTTCCCCAAACTCAGGGAGCCTCCACTCAGTGGGACCGTCCTTTCCTCCTACACTGAGAAAGCGGATTGAGCCCAGAACACCCATAGCACCTCCGCCCTCACACAGGGGACTCCCCTTCCCTCAGGCTAGGGAGTCAGGAGGGTGGGACTTCCACCTCCCTCCTCTGACACCTCCGCTCCAACCCGGAGTACAGGACTCTGCCCCAAGGGGACAAGCAGGACCCCAGGCCATGCCTCAGCCTCTCCCTCCCTCCCTCCTGGCTCTCCTCCAGGCCTGGCCGGTACCAGGCAAGCTACCCCCTCCAGGCTCTGTCCATGAATCCCACCTCTGTTGGGTACCACAGACCCCCCTTTCTCCTCACCAAACAAATGGGATCTTGAGCAAGACCCTGGGACAACAGCACACAAGGCCGGATCTATTCCCTGGACTAGTATGGCTGCCAGCAGGGGTGGGCAGCCAGGCCGGGAGAGCAGTCCATCCATGCCGCAGCCCCTCTAGGTCCACCCTCTGCAGTCGGGGGCCGGGCACTCTAAGCTCTGTCCTGGGGGGTCTGAGACCCAGGAGCAGGCCCATTCCAGGAGCTTCCGTGGTCCTCTCCCCACCCTCCCACTTTCCCTTCCTCTAAGGCCCCCCTCTCTCCTCCTGACACAGTGCACCTAGGAACCTTTGAGCCTAGGTCCAAATCCCTCCTCTGCTCCCTAGTGGAGAATTTCCCCAAACCTCAGTTTGGTCATTTGTAAAATGGGCATAACAACCCCTACGTGACGTGGGCTGCTGTGGCCGAGAAAGGGGATCAGGCAGGAAAGTCCCTGGCACACAGTATGTGCCCGGTTAAGACCAGTTTCCCTCTCTGTCCTCTCTTTTTCCTTCTCCTGACTAGAAGGGCAAAAGGCAGAGCTGGAAGAATGGAGGTTGGGGGGTGGCTGAGAAACCCTAGACTGGCAGGGCAGAAAATGATTTGTCCCAAGCACATAAAATGTCTCATATTCAGAAATCAATTTCTCAAATCCCTCCAGAGCCAGCAGTGAAGCCTCCCAGGACTATTTTTCTACCCTGAGAATGGGGCCTCGGAACCAAGCCTGAAAATCAAGGCTCAAAGCCCAGTGCCTCCCAGAAGCCAGCCAAGAGATTATCCCCATTTTACAGACAAGTTAACTGAGGTACAGAGTGGTTGAGTAATTTGCCTAAGGTCGCATAGCTAGTGAGCAGCTAAATTGATTTCTTTTAACAGTTCAGGCTGCTATCGAAAGTTGTTCCTTATGGAACGAGCCTTGCCTATCCAAGAACATTCTGTGATTTTGCTTCTGCTTTCAGAGTCAAGTTCAAACCCTCTATCCTAAACTGCAAGGCACCCCAGCAAGGTGGTGTAGTGCAGCAGAAAAAGGCACTGGACCTGGAGTCAGCCCCACCTGGGGTCAAACACCAGGCTTGCCACCTACTTCCGGCTGCGTGGCCACAGCAACATACCAGGCCTCCCTAGCCTCAACAGAGAGTGACAAGACCGACCTCCCAGGGCTGCTGGCAGGGTTGCCCGTCCCTGCATTCACACATATTTATTGAACCTCTACTATGCGCCAGGCCCCAGTCAAGGCACTTGAAACAGAGCAGCCAAAGGGCACTCAGAGACGACAGTCTACAGGGGTGGGAGGGCAGACAGCGAACAAGCAAATAAACAAAACAGCATCTGGTTGTGTTAGGGGCTTAAGGAAACACACAGTGAGGAGACCAAGGGCAACAAACAGGGTGATCAGGGAAGGCTTCCCTGAGGAGGTGACAATTAACGGGAAAAGGAGACAGTCATGCAACCAGCCAGGGGAGCAGCGGTGAGCACAGGACAGCACCTCCTGCAGAAGCAACAGCAAGTGCAAAGCCAGGGACGGAGGGAGACCCGCAGCATGTGTGAAGATGCCTGGCACACAGCAGGTGCTCAGTAAGCGGCGGCTGTTGGCATTATTACTACAAACCCCTTAAGCTCCTGGCTCTCTGCCTTCCTCTTCTGGAAAATGGGTTGCTGTGCAAATTCAAGTGAATCCCAAGTCTCTTCCACTTACCTTAATTCATTTAAAGTAACTCTCGTTCCAGTATTATTCCTCCCATTTTGCAGGTGAGGAAATTGAGGCTCCCAAGACCCCACACCCCATAAATGGCAACATCAGGATAGAAACCTGAGGCTTATAGCCCCAAACCCATGCTCCCTCCAGCCTTTTGTAGTCTCCTGTGCACATGAACCACTCACCGCATTTCCCCCTTCCCATCCCAAGACAGCTCAGACTGTCAGAAAGTCTCTTATTACAAGGAGCCAAGTCCTGTGCCTGGTTGCTCCCACCTACTTCTGCCCTTTGAAGCCACCCAGGACAGCCCTCTCTCCTCTTCCCCAGGTCAGCCTGACGAGTGAGCAGTGGCCGCTCAGAGCTGCTCCCAGCGCCAGGCCCCATGCCAACTTCATCCCCTTATCTTACACAGCAAGGTGAAGCAGGGATTCTTATCAACCCGTTGTACAGATGAAGAAACGGAGGCCCAAAAAGGTGAAGAAATGTGCCCAAGGGCATGCGTCTGGAAAACGGCAGTGTCAGGATCTGAACTCAGACCCTTATCACTTGAGAAACAGTCATCCTGCCCCTCACTCCCCAGGCCCCTCAAACATCCCTCTTTGAGCAACCATTTCAGTCCCTCACCCGGCCTGTTCCGTGGTGGCATCAAGAGGAGACAGAACAGACTTCCCTGGAATAGGTTCTCCTGGGGCACCACCAGCCATGTGCCTGCCACACTGCTCCCAGGCCAGGGTTGGCTGAGCAGGCTGAGAACACCAAGCCCTGTGAAGGAAGCCAGGAAGCAGGGGGCTCTGGCAACAGCTGGGGGACAGGGTCTACTTTATTAAAGTGCACACAGCTGGGGCAAGCAGGGGAGGAGCACGGACAGTGTGCCAGCCACACCTGTTCCACCCTGGCCCAGCATGACTGTCAGGGGACCCTCTGCCCCTCCAGGCACCCATTCCTGTTACTACCAACTCAGGACAATACACCCGGCACTTGAGGGTCATGAGGAAGACAGATCTCTGGTGAGGAGACACCACTGGCCTCCCCATGCATGTCAGAAAATCATTTTTAAAAGGAATTATGATGAGGGTGGTGGTTACCACTTACTGAGAGTCTATTATGTGCCAGGAGCCACACCAGAGGCATCACAAATAACAGCAACCCTGCGAGGCATGTGCCTCATCGCCATTTTACAAAGGGGGAAACTGAGGCATGAGGTCATACACTGCAAAACCAGAGCCAGGATTCAAACCCAGAACTCTGTGCTCTTCCATGATGCCCCCTGTTGTTATCATTTAAAGGAAATGTTGCTTCAGGAGAATATTTGAGGACTGGGTAGAGAGAGGACTCTGAATGGTCTCAGAGAGGCAGGCTCCCTGGGGAAAAAGTTAAGCTTGGTGAGTGGGACCCTTGTGGAGGGAGGTGCTCAGCAGTCAGGCTGCCACAGCATGTGCCTACTGTGTGACCTTGGGCAAATTACTTCCCCTATGTGATACCTCAAAGGCAGATGTCAATGCCGGGCTCCCCGGAGCAGGGCAGTGGGTCAGCAAGAACCCAGCAAACATGAAGGCTGGGGAGGAAGACATGTGGGGGCAAGAAAGGAGCATGTGACCAGATGGGGGACTTGTATGATTGAAGGCTCTGAGGAGGGAGAAGAGCCAAGGAGGCAGAGTCGGGGACAGCATGGCCACAGAAGTGGGAGGGGGAGTAGGCGAGAGAAGGCCTTGGGAGGAGAGAGGCCGATGGTGCAGCAGGGTCTCCAGTCTGGTCACAAGGACAGGCAGGATGTGCACAACTCAGACCCACCCACTATGCCTCACTCGCCCCCAAAGAACCCCGCTTCAGCCTGTGACAGTAACACAAAGTCCCTTGCAGCAGCCCCTCCAGGGCACCATCACCACCTCTTCCCTGGGGACCTCAACGCCTCGGCAGCCACAGCCCCTCCACGTGGGGACCACCGAACTTTAGAGACAGCATCTCCCTCTCCTTAGCAACCACCGACACACGCTCAGACAGCCAGCCTCCTCCCTCCATCTCCTCCTCTCTCCATGGAGACCACAATGCCACACAGGCGGCTCCCTCAGCACTGCACAGCAACCACCGTCACTCAGCACCGCCCTCCTGGACAACAGCTCCCTCCACGTGGCCACCACCAACACAGCCACGGTGACAGCGACAGACTCAGCCTCTCCTCTCCAGAGCAGCGACCAACACCAGTCCGGACAAAACAGCTCCTGCTGCCTGCCTGCCTGCAGCTCCCTAGTGTCAGACATCTCTCCCCACCACCTCCAAATTCAGTGACACAGGATCAGTCCCCATATCCATTCTGCTGGCATTTTCCCCTGTTCCAGCTCACTCCCAGCCCCTCAGTCTGCCCCTCTCTATGACAGAAAGGAGGAAAAGGCCATGTTCTCCCAGGCCTTCCCCTGGAAGCCAGTCCCCTGCCCTGCTGGGGTGCAGGCCAGGCCCTGCTCAGCCTCTCAGCTGGGTGATGGGGCAGGATCTGGGGTCTCTGAGTCAGCAGAGGCTTCCTCCCCACCCTCCCCAGGGGACCTGTCCCAGCCCCCAACAGGCCTGCCGCTCTGCCAGCTGCCTCCTAGGCCCTGCGGAAAGGAAGCTGGGGAGAGGCAGGGTGGGGGTGTCCACGGCTGGGGGCAGGGGCCAGACCAGCAGGAAAGGACACTACAGGCTGAGGCCAGGCTGCATCACAGATTTGCAAGGCTGGGTCATGTGAGCTGTGCTCACACACAGCCACACACACACTGTCAGAAGGAACCTGTCCTTACCAGACATCTGCAGGCAAACGGGGCCCCTCTGGCCAGCGAGGCTCTGTCCCTGACCTGGGTCTCAGGGAGGTCTCCCAGGCGGTGGCAGCGGCTGCGGTAGCGGCGGTGGTAGCGGCGGTAGCAGTGGGGTCTCGGGTCCTGGCCCCGCTCAGGCAGCAACGGCTCCTCACCCAGTCCTGCGCTTCTGTGAGGAGGCGAGGGGGAGACGGGAGGAGGGAGAGGGAGGAGGGAGAGGGAGGGGGCAGCAGGAGGGAGGGAGGACGGAAAAATGCTGAAGTCTTGAAGGGTACACTCACTTCTTTCTTAGGTTTCCCATGGCAACCGAATATACCACAAATGAATATCAGTGCGAGAGGGGGGAGGGGAGGGATGGAGAGCGATGGAGAGAGATAGAGACGGGGAGACGGAGAGATGGGGCAGGCGACAGGAAGAGCTGGAGAGATGGGGAGATAGAGACGGGGAAACGGGGTGGGAGACAGAGAGGTGGGAAGAGATGGAGGCCAAGAGATGGAGGCAGAGAGACAGAGAAAGACGACGGGGCAAGAGAGATGGAGTGGAAGAGACCCAGATGGAGGGCTGGGGTTCCCACCCTAACCCATAGGGCTCAGGGGCAAGGGGAGAGGCCTGGAGCCACAGGGCTTCTTTCAAGCCCCTGGGCAGGAGGGGCAAGCAGCAGATGGGTGGATTTTCCGGGAATCCAGGGGCCCCACTCCCACCCCTCCATCCCATCCCTCACTCCCTGCTGGTCCCATAACCTGGGGTTGCCTTCCAAGCCATATTCCCCATACCCCACTCACAGTCATGGTCACACATCACACCCACGTGTATGCGTGTACACACACATCCTCACACTCACCTGATACCCAATGCCCACACACACAGCCCTCACCCCGCTAATGCCAAACCACACCCCAAACACCAACACCACCCATTCCCCTCATCAGCTGGGCCCCATCCCCTCTGCTGCAGGGAACACAGACCCCACCCCCACCCAAGCAATCCTCTCTTATTCAGAACTCTGCCAGGACTGGCACACACCCCTTCCCCACGTGCCCAGCCTGTGCCCTGCCAGGTGTGAGACCTCTGCCCACCTTCCCACCATATGTGCTCACACAGCTATGAGCGATGTGCCTGCCCGGCCTCCACCTGCACAGACACACACACTCCCAGACAGACTCAGCCAACCTTGCCTCCATCTGTGCACACGTGTGCACACACACGCCCAGCCCCTTCCCCCGGGGCTCCCTCTCTGTCTGGCCCCACTGTCTGGCCCCACACTCCCCACCAGCCCAGATGGTACTCCTGCCCTCCCCCCGCAGGCAGGGGCTCACACCTCCGCCCCCTCAGCACTGCCATTCACAAACATATGTGGACCCACCGAGTGCCGGCATCCAGCAGCACCCGACAGAGCACAAACACACACGCGGCCCCTGCGCTGCCTCAACTCCCTCACCCTGCCCAGAGGCTAAGCAAGAAAGGGCCAGCTTACTCCAGGAAAGGGCTCCCCTGCCCTAGCTAGGGGGCCGACGCTTGACCCTAAGCCCTGTGACCAGCAAGGATGGGATGGCACCTGAAGGCATACACTATACCCTCACACACACACCAGTACCCACAGGGTGTGCCTAGACAGAACCAACACACCAGAACTACACACCCCCTCAGACACATGCTCTGCACACAGCTGCCCACAGAGCCTGGACATAGGGGTGGCCCATGCAGACACACACCCCAACATGCACATCCACCCCTGTGCCAATATGCATGAGGACACTACACAGACACACGTCGACACACCCACACTGTGGACTGCACCCCCCAGGTTTCACCAGACCCACCCAGACAAACATACCCACTTGCACAGGGGCACCCGACATAGACTCCCACGCCAAGACATAGGAGCCCCAAGCATGTCCACATGCAGGGAACACTCCTAGACACACATGCCCATGCACACGTGCCAACAACCCCCACCCCCACCCCCCGCGCACACGGCCACGCCTGCACACCCCCCGCAGCACTCCCGGGCAGTTCACGGCGACGCCCCCCACCCCGTCTACACCCACCTCCCCAGCCAACAACT